CCACAACAAATTCCTATTCTTGAATGCTGAATTAATTGTATCTGAAATTTAAAGAGGTGCAAATTATTTCTAATTGCCTGAGGACCCTCCTCAGTTTTGAATATAAAGGCAAGAAAATAATTGACAAATAGGCAGAGCCAGGCATCCAGGGACAATGTTCAGGACAAAAATTGTCTACTATTATTAAAGATGTAGCTGGTTTAGGGAGGCTTAACAGGAAAAATGGTGTCTTTACCAAGGATTAGAGTTCCAGAAGAATACTGGGGTAGCCAAGAGCAAGCATGTCAGCAATACACTAACTAAGATACTGTAGTGGTTTGATCAAAATACAAGGCATGGGCATAAAAACAAGAAAGAAGAAAAGTAATTATAATTAATCCAGGAATTGGAGATAAGGCTGGAATGTCCTCCAGGTGTGAAAGAAATGCTTTGAAAGCTAACATAGCATCCTTGATACAAATCAGTGCTGTTTTTGTATTGTAGCAAGCTTGCAAATTGCCTCCATAGAGATAAGGGACTAGCAGGACACATTCCCAAATCCTCAATACTTTCCAAACTAGATGATATATTCTAAGTGTATTTTGAAAGTCATAAACATGCCTGGAATTGCAGGGAGAAAATATAAAGTATAATGTGAATATGCAAACAAACGAATGCACAATTCAATATGGATATATCAATATGCATGCAAAACTTTGTATAGACAATACCTTCTAGTGTACATTCTGCAAATTACAATATTTACAAACACCAGTTTATAAATACACTAAAGAGACATACAATATACAAGTATATGACCATATATAATATTGTCAAAGTTTCCAAGGCTCAGAGTCAGTGGGAGTTGGGCAGCATATAAATTAATTAAATAATAAAATAAATACTATTTCCATCTTTTTACCACCACAAGTTACCACTTTTCTAATAAAGATGGAATATAGTTAGTGTGAGACAGGTAAGAATTATCTGCTCCAGAGGATATTCTGAATATCTGCTCAGTCATGTCCAACTCTTGGAGACTGTCTTAACAAGTCCTTGCTATTTTCTTGGTAAAATTTCAGCATTATTTTATTCAATGTTTTGTTTGCTTTAGTTATCCTTTAAAGTGTTCTCTTCTCCTTGTTTCTCATGTCAGTTGAAAGACTTCTCTAAGCTACATTCTTCTCTGTGGATGTCACCTTAATTTTGACATTCTGAGTCTCTTCCTTGCTTTCACTAGGGCGACCTTCACTTCTCGGTTCCTGAGGCTATATATCAAAGGGATGAGAAAGGGGATTGCCACAGTGATAAAATCACTGAGACGATTTTATCCTGTTCCAGGGAGAAACTAGAGCTGGGTGGCAAATACATAAAGAGAAGGGTTCCATAGAACAAGCTAACAGTGGTCAGATGTGCAGTGCAAGTGGAGAAAGCCTTGCATTTGCCCTCTGTGGTCTGCATGGTAGAGAAGATGCAACAGTAAGAGAAGAGGATTATGAATGTTGTGGTAACTTCATTAAATCCAACAAAAACAAAAACATTTGATTGATTTGATTGAGACAGATATCAGAGCAGGCCAGCTTGATTAAAGGTGGCCAGTCACAGAAGAAATGGTTGATGACATTGGAGTCCTCAAACGACATTTTTAAGGTAAAACCTATCTGTATAGTTGCATTTAGAAACCCACATGCATAGGACCCCAACAAGCCAAACACATGACAATATACAGCAAGGGATTACAAATGATTGTATGCCATAGCAAAGGAAAGTTGCTGTGCTTCCAATATAGTATGACTCCTCCAAAGGATGTGGCTGCTTGGATATTTCAAGGAGAAGTATTTATATGTTTTGTGACATATCTCTTCTTAATGTTTTGCATATCTGTGAAGATGATAGCGATGGTAATTGAAGTGGTAGTTATAAAAACTCACTGGGTAAAGTTAGACCAATCTCAGTTTTTTAGCCTACTCTTCTTCTCAAGGTTGATATTGTGGGGATAAAATGAAGAGAAATGTCCATGTTAAGTTACCCTGAATTACCAAAAGAGAAGTGGGAATAATAAATAATTCTACATAAAGATGGTGAAGAGAAATGTCCATGTTACCTGATCTTGAGCTGCTGAAGAAATGGGAATAATAAATACTCTACATAAATAACAACACAGTATTTCTTGAATGAATTTACCTTGGAATTTAAAACATCCCACAACAAACAAAATATAAAATAGAATTTGCAATATTTTATTTCTTAAGGTTTATTTATATAGTGGTATGCATAAAACATGAATATTTATGAAAACATACTCATAAATATAGGATTATTACAGCATACAGATTCCTTCAGTCAGAGTAGATTGTTGGTGTCTGTGCACTAGTTCCAGCAAAAATATGGATGTGTTTGCCATTGCTTTCTTGTAGGATGCTTTTCAACTTCCCAGTCTAACAGTCATGGTTACCATTTCAGAGTATCATAAATCACTAACCAAATCCATCCCAGCTTTACAAATAAAGCAAGGTCAACTGGGTGCTGTCATCTGCTGGACACTGCCTCATACTTTGAAGCCACACCACTGCTGTCTGTATGTGATGGCCACCACGAGAAATGTCCAAAGAATAGGTCTATGCACTAGCTGTTAGCTGGTTAAAATGAAAAAGTTACATACAACATTTTGACATACTGTTCTCAGTTAACTCACTCACACATTTTATTATACATAATAAAAGCAAAACAAACAAACCTTTAAGAACTTATTGTATGTCAAAGCTTTATTACTAACTCCTGAGACTAAAGAAATCATCATCATCATCATCATCATCATCATCATCATCATCTTTTTAAAAAGGACAATCCATATAAAAATATGTAATTTGCAACACTTGGTGTAACACACAATTTTTTTAAAAAAAACCTTAAAAATATATGTTTTCACTTGTTTGTACCTCTATTAGTCAATGAAAAGGAATCTTTCCTAAAGAGGAACGATAAATTACTTCCCCTTTCAGAGTGAGATTATCCCACAATTTAAGTATGTTATGTGAAGAACGATCAAATTCATATTTGCATGATATCCTCTTCAAAACATGCAGCCTTTAATATTAGAAACAGAGTAGAACTTTGAATATAAAAATGTATCTCACAGTATTAGGAGAATCACTGTTACTTTTTAACTGTTATTGTATAAACATTTTATCATTTTTTTCTTTTCTGACTTTTCTAGTCTTCCTTCCTTCCTTCCTTCCTTCCTTCCTTCCTTCCTTCCTTCCTTCCTTCCTTCCTTCCTTCCTTCCTTCCTTCCATCCCAATTACAAATCAACAAAAATAAGTTCATCTTTTGTTGAGATCCACTTCCATGCCAAATGTAAATTGGCTTAACTTCCCAAGAAGGATGATGGGGTGGGATGAGACCGACCCAGAACAGATATAGAAGCAGCCCCAAAGAAACATGTGAAAGTAACCTGAATTTTCTAGGCAAGGCACTGGCTTCCAGTGGTTAAGCTAGATTTTCCAAAAGACTGATCTACCCAGGCTTCTCCTCTTCTACATTGTGACAATGTTAGATTGTGTGTTGATTTTCTGGCCTGGATGATCTGAATTCATCCAGCATCTTTTGATGTTATGTGTTAAGAAGTAGATGACTTTAATCTCATATTTTTGATCATGCCATAAAGGGACATTTTCTTAAAGTCAGAGTATAACCAATAGAACAATATTTTGCTCTGAGAAATCAGTTTGTGAGGAGCTTTCACAAGACAAGGATGTAAACCTTACATGCTGATGCAACTTGACTCTGAATTAAGCAACTGGAATCTGGACTAGGTCTAGATAACTTTCATAAACTTGGTATTGTCCTGTGCCAGACCAAGCACACACAAGTAGAGGTGACTGTAAAGAGGTGGTTGCAAATTTCACTGATAAGTTTTATGAAGTAAATAAAAAAGGAAATATGAATGCAAATGCACACCCAGAGAATGAGCGAGAGAGAGAGAGAGAGAGAGAGAGAGAGAGAGAGAGAGAGAGAGAGAGAGAGAGAGAGAGAGAGAGAGAGAGAGAGAGAGAAGAAGAAGAAGAAGAAGAAGAAGAAGAAGAAGAAGAAGAAGAAGAAGAAGAAGAAGAAGAAGAAGAAGAAGAAGAAGAAGAAGAAGAAGAAGAAGAAGAAGAAGAAGAAGAAGAAGAAAAACAAAAACAAAAACAAATTCCCCAATGTTCAGTAAGCTTGCCTTAAAGGACTTCCAATCTGAAACAGAGAGCACAAGAGCGTCCAAATGAAGTCCAACGGTCCAAATATTGTTGTAGAAGGTTTGTCAGATGGTCTAGGTCCAAGAGTCAACATCATGGGATTTCAAGTTAGAACTTGAGGCACAGGGAGTCTGAGTTAAGGGACAGTTGTTGCCAACATTTGTTTTCATCCAGGCATCAGAATGCTACAGGATTTTTACAAATGGTAATCCTTAGTTGTCTAGAGCTTGCATTAGAATTTTACATTTGTTTCTCTAAATAACTCTCACTGAAATCATTTATGTACATATGTAGGATTGTAGTATCATTAAAACTGGCTGCCAATAAAGAAAAGTAGAACAGTTGTGTTCTGTCTTTGGCTCTGTAACTCCCAAAGATGTGTTTCCTTTCAGAAACAAGACAGCTTTCAGAAGGGGGGAAATGATAAAATATGGAGGATTTAGCAGTCATTTTGACCACAACATTACAACAGAAGCTTGAAGAGATGGAGCAACTTTCCTTATGAAGCCAATTCCGACATGCAATCTAGAAACATGAAAAGGGTGAACAATGTGTAGGGTTATTAGAATGTGGATTTCATGAAGGGAATTTATTCTGCTCAGTGACATGTCACAGAACATTCATTGCACGAATAAAAGAAATCCAGCACAAAAGCTTTGGAAGGATAGCTAAAAATTTACTCTAAAACAATTGTAGATACCACGAAGGTTTTTCTGTAAGTGTGATATAATGCATTTGTGGAAAAGGAATAGCGTGAATATGTTTTCCTAAATTTTGTGTGCAACTCACTTGGAAGTGGCTATTCTTTGAAATGTTTTTTTCATGGCATTTCTAACTTCTTTATTCCTTAAACTATATATCATTGGGTTGAGCATAGGAATGATCACAGCATAAAAGACAGATACGATCTTGTCTTGCTCCAAAGAATAGCTGGAGCTAGGCCGCAAGTACATGAAAAGAAGAGTCCCATAGAAAGTGAAGACAACAATCAGGTGGGAAGAGCAGGTAGAGAATGCTTTGTAAATACTTTCAAGTGAACGCATTTGGAGGACTGTGACAATGATACAGAAATAGGAGATTACCACTAGGGATGTAGTTGCAACCTCATTAAATCCTACAAAAGCAAAGAGCAGAATCTGAACGAGCTGGATGTCAGAACAATAAAGATGAGTCAGAGGAGGTCCATCACAGAAGAAATGGTTGATAATGTTGGAATTACAGCAGGTTAATCTTAAACGAAATCCCACTTGTATGGATGAATTCAGAAGTCCAGCTATATAGCACAGTACCACTAATGGAATGCAGACCATTCTGGACATGACGGTGGTATACTTCAATGGGTTGCAGATGGCCACATATCGGTCATATGCCATCACAGCCACAAGGTAGCATTCAGTAGTTGCAAAACAGCAATAAAAGTATTGCTGTAAGAAACATCCAGTGTATGAAATAACTTTCTTCTGTACCAGGAAATTCATCAGCATCTTTGGGGTGACAGCAGATGAATAGCAAAGGTCTAAGAAGGATAAGTTGCTCAGAAGGAAATACATGGGGGTTTGAAGGTGAGAATCATTTTTCACAACCACAATGATCCCAATATTCCCCAAAATAGTGATAACATAAATCAGTAAAAATATCACAAAGAACACACACTGTAGGGTTACATGATCTGTGAATCCTAGAAGAATAAACTCTTCCACCTCAGTGCAGTTTCCTCCAGTCATCTCACTGGTTTAGTTGATTCTTCACTGAAAGAGAAAAATCATGCAAAAATAAGTTCTCAAAGTTGAAGGGAACTTTCTCATGGGGATCAAAAATTAAGTTTAGATTCCAGGAATTTGTCAGCTCCAAAGATTTTTGCATTCAATATATTTCATCTTTCTGTTAAAGGAAATGTAATTATATATCAATTAAACATTATCTTTAAACAGTTTGGCAAACTTGTATTTTGCCTAATAATTTATCAGTGGAATTCAGTTTCATGAATGTTGATGTTAAGAAAATTAGATCACTATCTTGTTTTCTTTTCCTCTTTGAAAATCCATTTTCATTTTTCTTGGGAAGGAGAATGACAGAGGTCATAGCACTAACAATAACAGAGACTTGTCTTTTGCTGCTATCCATTTGAAAAACAAACATGATTGATCAAGGTCTTCTGCAATTTCTTTTTCCTATTTTTTTTTCTATTGGAGCAAGTTCACCTATTGTGGCTACAGTGATAGAGTTTAGCATGAGGTTTATTAGCAGATTAATCAAAGACATTCGTAAGAATCTCTAGAAAATGATAAGTTCTAATACTCCTTGTTTCTGAAGTTCTGAAGAGAATATCAAAACACCACTATGCGCAAGAGAATATAAAAAAAGGACTATGCACAAAATAGTAGTTATATAATCAGATTGGGTGAAGACCCGTTGACTCTAGTACTATTATGTATACTTAGGAAAAAAACCCTCTAAAACAATGTCAAACTGCCGGCCTGTGGGCCGGCAATGGAAAAAAAGTCACGACATATCATGACATGTCACATAACATTGTGAGTTTGACACCCTTGTTCTAAAGAGTGTGAGATAACAGAGTAGAGAAGTGATTGTGAACATGGAAAACCAGTTTTGAATCTGCTACTCCCTATATGAAGCTGACAACCCTTTCCATGTTTCCAATGAAATCCAATGAAGCTGGTACAAACTGGGCTGCAATGGCTGAGATTAATAATGGACTTTTAAAAAGGCAAAGAAACTGCATCTAATATAGATAAGACAGAACTTGTTCCTAGCCAGAAAAAAAGAAGTTCAGGAAACAGTGATTCCATCTGTGTCAGACAAAGTAATGCTTCTCTTGAAACCTCTCCTCATTATTTGGGAGTCTGAGTTTGGATGCTCAATTTTTGATGGTGCTCAGAAGTTTCTTTGTTTCATTAAGACTAGCATGTCTTTTTCCTGGATCTGTCAGATTCAGTCATGATGTACAAATCCCACTTACATCCCATTTGTACCATTAGAATATACTGCATGACAGACAGCCCTTGAAAACTGTTCTGAAACTTCAGATTATACATATTGCAGACCAAACTACTAACTGGGGCCAATTATAAGAAGCATGTACTCTGTTGTCAAATAATCACTAATTTGTTTCTGATCTGGCATAATTCAAGATGCTGTTAATGCTCTATATGGGGTGGAAATCAGATTATATATATATGGTTCTATTGCTGGACGAAAGCCAATTTGATAAGAACACTAACATGTTTTGAACAGCAGTGGGGATAAGGAATCCTGAAGAAGCATTGCAAACAAACCTTTTCTGAAATGTAATTACTGGTTCTTTTACAAATGATCTAGAGTCAAAAAATATTACCACCACCTTGAAAAATATTTCATCAATACATTCATCAAATGTACTGAATACATTTTATTTCACTAACACTATAACATTTCAGTAGAGGTTTACCTTTGTTATTATATTCCTTATTTTGACTGATTGTTGTATTTGTCTAAGTAGACATTGAATGCCCCATTGGATGAAGAAATAAATGTGCACTTACAATGGTATCTTACAAACACTTCAGGAGAAACAAAATGTACTTTGATTCTTTTCAGAATGAGTTAAGTTGGCTTAGAATGAGGACTCCCATCTGAAGAAGTAGCTATGTCTACCAGGAAGGATGGCATTAATTACCTATTTGTATTTAAACCACTGGGATCCATATTCCTGATAGGCTGTGATACAAAGTTAACTTTCCTATTTACTCTTGGCATGAAAGAGGAGTAATTTCCCTGCCCCAGTGCTACATTTTCAAGGAGAAATAGATTTGCTTTGGGAAAAAGAGTTTTCTAAGCAATGTCTGGGGATTTTCTTTTCTCAGACCAGCACCAACAAGAACCATTCATTTTTCTACCATCTCCTTTCAGGCAGCTGGCATTTATCTCTAATTTTCCAGAATTTTTCAGCATTTTAGGTACTGCAGAAAGTGACCAAACTGCTAACACAGTTGCATCTTCTGGCACATGTACCATTATTGTTGTTGGGGAAAAAAGGAATTTTTTGTGCTAGTTACTATTGTTGTCAATGCAATTCATAGTAAGATGGCCCTTAAGAAAGCTGCAGACAAAATATTTTTATCTCTGGAAAACATTGGATGAAACAGTCACCTGGATTTAGAGAATTCTGGAGAAGACTGGAGAATTTCTGAACTACCGTTAGTTTAATGACTGTTTAAACTTACATCATTCAAAAAAGAGACTTACAACCAGTTCTCAAAGTTATTTGATCAAAATTCAGGCACTTGGCAACAAGCTCATATTTATGATGGTTGCAGCACTCCACGGTCATCTGATTGCCACCTGTGACCTTCTCAGCTGTCCTCTGACAAGCAAAGTAAATGGGGAAAGCTGGATTCGCTTAACGAACTCTCTGATTCACTTAAGAGCTACAGTGATTCATTGAACGACTCTGGCAATAAAGGTCATAAAATTGGGCATGATTCACTTACCAACTGTCCTGCTTAACAACAGAAATTCTGGTCTCAATTTTTGTCATATGTTGAGAATTACCTGTAATAGTCTTGTTATGTGCCAAAGAAAGACCCTAACTGCGAGCTGAGGTTTCATTTTTTTCCCCTCTCAGCTTAGATTTTATTATTTCAAATATTTATTCATCAGTCATTCTTTATATGTCTTTGGATTATGAACTATATCTAGAGGGCAACCTCAGTTGCATTTAAGTTCTGCTTCAACACTAGCTACAATAGACTATTAAGAATTGAATTTTTTGGAATTTTTAAAATTTTTGAAAACAATTTTCAGCGTTTTTGAAATTTTTGAAATGTTTGACATTTTAAAATTTTGGGTTCACGTCTTTACATGGTCTCCACCATTGGCTACAAACTTCTGCCAATAATGGACACCTAGTGGATCACCTAGCAGAGGTCTGCGCCCAGTGCAGGAATCAACAGATGACCATTCAGGATGCCTTTAAACATCTTTAGAGAGAGAGGTTCCACCATTTTCTGAGGCAGTCATGTCCATCACTGAAAAGTTCTTAGTTAGGAACTAAGGTCAAAAGAGTCAAAATTCAGCCACAACCCTGAAATCAAAACCTCTTTTAGATGCACTGCATGCAGGACTTTGAATGTGTCGTTGCAGCTGCCATCTTGAATTTTTTACATATCTCTCCCATGTATAGTATAGATAGTATGTAGTATAGATAGTATTTATTAAATTTTCTGAAAAAGTTTATAATGGTTGTTTTGATATTGTTATTAGAATATCACATATAGATATGGCTGCCTGATGTACTTACTCAGTATTAATTTCAATAGAGCAACAATGCACCATTATTTGTCCACACTACTAGAAAAGATGGAATATGTGTTGGAGATTTTAAACTATCCCACTTGAACATTTTTATTCTTATGACTGTTAATGATAAAAGAACTCTGGTTTCTTTGCATCGGGTTGATTAAGGGGAGATTCTTCAGCCTGAGAATGATCAGACTGATTTTGTGTGTGTGTGTGATGTTGCTTTTAACAAGTATGGTTTCAGTACCACAGAGTTTGACAAATTTCCCTCCAAAAATTGAAGTTTGTTTATGTTTATGTTTATTTTTGTTTAGATTTGTATACCGCCCTATCTCCCTTATGGGACTCAGGGCGGTGAACAGGCGATAATAAAAATCACAATAAATATCTATTCTAAAATCAAATTAAATAAATAAAGGCTTGCTCTAAAATACCTCATATAAAAACCTATACTAAAACCTAATTAAGACTACGCCAGGCCGGCCGCACGAAATAGATGGGTTTTCAGGGCTCGGCGAAAAAGGCGCAGGTCCGCAGTTGTATGTAGGTCGGGGGGTAGGTCATTCCAGAGGGCAGGAGCTGCCACAGAGAAGGCTCTCCCCCTGGGGGTCACCAGCTGGCATTGACTGGCCGACGGCACCCTAAGAAGGCCCTCTCTGTGGGAGCGGACTAGTCGAAGGGAGGTATTTGGTAGGAGGCGGTCTTGCAAATACCTAGGTCCATTGCCATGGAGCGCTTTAAAGGTTGTTACTAACACCTTGAAGCGCACCCGGAAGGCCACAGGCAGCCAGTGCAGCTCACGCAGGAGAGGTGTTACATGGGAGTATCTAGAGGCCCCCAAAATCCCCCGCGCAGCCGCATTCTGAACTAGCTGGAGCCTCCAGGTGCACCTCAAGGGGAGCCCCATGTAGAGAGCGTTGCAATAGTCCAGGCAGGAAACAACGAGGGCTTGAGTGACCGTGCGTAGAGCGTCACGATCCAGAAAGGGGCACAACTGGTGTATCAGGCGAGCCTGATGAAAAGACCCCTGGCCACGGCTGTCATATGATTGTCTAAAGACAGCCGAGTGTCCAGGAGGACGCCCAAGTTGCGGGCCCTCTCTGCGGGGGCTAATGACTCACCCCCGATAGCCAGGGATGGAGCCAACTGGCTATGTCGTGACACCGGAAACCACAGCCACTCGGTCTTGGACGGGTTGAGTCGAAGCCTGTTCCTCCCCATCCAGACTTGCACAGCCTCCAGGCACCGGGACATTACTTTCGCGGCATCGTTGGGGTGGTCCTTTGCAAGATCACATCAGATTTTAATTAGATGCCAATGATTGTTCGGGTTTAAATGATCATCTGCATGATAGAAAGGATTTCTAAATTTTAATATTCTCTTAATAGTTCTTGGATGTTATTATGTGTATCTGAGACATGTGCATGTATTGAAATATTTTCATTTATGTAGTTCTATCTTATTCCCCTCTTGATGATCTTGTTAAGGGGCAGTTCCTTCAGGCAAAATATATCCAAGAAATCAATCATTTTCTCCCTGATCTACTTTGGCAGAGGCATATCTAAAAAAATCCTCTCTGGTTTCAGATATACTAAAGCAGGGGTGTTGGACTTGATTTCACTGAGAGCTGCATCAGGGTTGTGGTTGACCTCGGGGGGCCAGGGTGGGCATAGCAGGGTTTGGTGTGGCTAGGGTGGGTGTGGCCAGCTCAACATCACTCGTGTTGGGGGGTGACTATGGTGGCCCAGGTGGGGCTGGAGGGATCCATTGTCTCCAACTGAGGAAGGTGAGACCAGGGCAAGCACCATATCCTTGTCCACCAGAGGAGCCTTGCTGTCCCTCTCAGGCCATGCAGAGAACCCCCAGTGATGCAGGCTGCCTGGAGCCCTGGGCAGCAGAGGGCAAGGGTCCAATCCAGCCTTTCCCAAGGGGGCACCTAGCTGCGCTTACCTCCTTCTCAAGGCTGCTGCCGATTGACTTGCTCTCCTTGGCCAAGTTGCTCATGGTGTGTGTGGGAGGGCAAAATGTGTGGGTCAGAGGGAAGCCCACTCCCTCTCCCTGTGAGGAGACCTGGCTTTGTAACCAAAGCATTCACAGTGATAGGATGGGAGACCACCAGGAGAGGTCAGGAAGAAGGGACAAGGGGATGGCAAAAGGGCATCAGGACTGCTCGTGGCCAAATTCTAAGGCAGGACTTCCCTCAGACCCTCCCTCCTTTTCATTATAATCTCCTTCCTTCCTTCCTTCCTTCCTTCCTTCCTTCCTTCCTTCCTTCCTTCCTTCTTCCCTTCCTTGCATCTCATTCCCATCTCCTTCCTTCCTCTTTCCCTCCTTCACTGGCACCCTCCTTCTCATTTCCATCTCCTTCATTGCTTCCTTCTTTTCTTCCCTGCTTCTCAATAAAATATGAATATTCATAAAATACATTCATAAAACTGGATTATTGCAACATAGATTCCTTCAATCAGATTTGATTATTGGTGTCTGTGCAGTACGTCTAGCAAAAATATGGATGTGTTTGCCATTGCTATCTTCTAAGATGTTTTTTCAACTCTCCAGTCTAACTTGGTTACCATTTCAGGGTATCATAAAACCACTATCCAAATCCATCCCATCTTTCAAAAAAAATGCAAAATCAAGTGGGCATTGTCACCTGCTGCAAACTGCACCATACTTTGAAGCCACACTACAAGTCTCTGTATGTGGTGGCCACCAGGAGAAATGGCCAAAGAATAGGTCTATGCAACAGTGGTTAGCTGGCTAAAATGAAAAGGTTACATACATTTTTTTAAAAAGATTGTTCTCTATTAAAGCAAAACAATCAATCCTTTATTAAGATGTTTTTCCCTTTCTGACTGTTCTAGCCTTCCTTCCTTCCTTCCTGATTACTCACAAAATTTATTTCACAAACACAAAAGCTTTGAAAGCTCAGGTAAAGAATAACTCTACTACTATTGTACACATCACAAAGGTTTTTTGTAAGTGTAATGTAATGCATTTATGGAAAATGAATAGCATGAATATGTACTTCTAAATTTATGTGCAACTAATTTGGAAATGGTATTCTTTGAAATGTTTTTTTCATGGCATTTCTAACTTCTTTGTTCCTGAAACTATATATGATGGGGTTGAGCATAGGAATGATCACAACATAAAAGACAGATACGATCTTGTCTTGTTCCAAGGAATAGCTGGAGCTAGGCCGCAGGTACATGAAAAGAAGAGTCCCATAGAAAGTGCAGACAACAATCAGGTGAGAAGAGCAGGTAGAGAATGCTTTGTAAATACTTTCAAGTGAGCGCATTTGGAGGATTGTGGCAAGGATATAGCAATAGGAGATTACCACTATGGATGAGGTGGCAACCTCATTAAATCCTGCAAAAGCAAAGAGCAGAATCTGAACGAGCTGGATGTCAGAACAATAAAGATGAGTCAGAGGAGGTCCATCACAGAAGAAATGGTTGATGAGGTTGGAATGACAGCAGGTTAATTTTAAACGAAATCCCACATGTATGGATGAATTTAGAAATCCAGCTATATAGCACAGTACCACTAATGAAATGCAGACAGTTTTGGACATAATGGTGGTATATTTCAATGGGTTGCAGATGGCCACATATCGGTCATATGCCATCACAGCCAGAAGGTAGCATTCAGTAGTTGCTAAACCTGCATAAAAAAAGAGTTGTAAGATACAGCCAGTGTACAAGATGACTTTCCTCTCTACCAGGAAATTCACCAGCATTTTGGGGGTGACAACAGATGAGTAGCAAAGGTCTAAAAAGGATAAGTTGCTCAGAAAGAAATACATGGGGGTTTGAAGGTGAGAATCATTTTTCACAGTCACAATGATCCCAACATTCCCCACAATAGTAATACTATAAATTAGTAAAAATATCACAAAGACAACACGCTGTAGGGTTACATGATCTGTGAATCCTAGAAGAATAAACTCTTCCACCTCAGTGCAGTTTCCTCCAGCCATCTCACTGGTCTAGTGTATTCGTCACTGAAAGAGAAAATCATGCACAATTAGATCTCAAAATTGAAGGGAACTGTCTCATTGAAATCGAACATTAGGTTTAGATTCCTGGAAATCCATGTCAGATTAGAAATTTTTGCATTGACTATATTTTATCTTCCTTTTAAAGGAAATTTAACTATAAAATCATTTGAACATTATTTTAAAAAAACTCAGCAAACTGATATTTTGCCTATTAGTTTCCTTCGTGGAGTTCAGTTTCATGAATGTTGATGTTAAGAAAATTAGATCATTATTTTTTTTAAAAAAAGAAAATATTTTCTTGTTTTCTTTTTCCCTTTGAAAATCTGTTTTCATTTTTCTAGGTTGGGAAGGACAATGACAGTTATCATAGAACTAACAGTAACAGAAACTTGTCTTTTGCTTCTATCCATTTGAAAAACAAATATTGTCGATCAAGTTCTTCAGTAATTTGTGTAATTTCCTATTTTTTTGGAGCAGGTCCATTTATTGTGATAGTAATGAAAGAGTTTAGCATGAGGTTTATTTGCAGATTAGTCAAAGAAGCTCTTAAGAAGCTGTATGGGAAGACAGTCCTATAGATTTTGAGTTCCAATGCTCCCTGTTTCTGAGGAGAATATCTGCACACAAAACAGTAATTATATATATTGTCAGGTTTGGTGTAGACATTTGTCTGTAGTTCTATTAAGTATTCTTAGAAAATAAAACTCTAAAGAGTGAGAGATGGCAGTGGAGATTGGATTGAGATCATGGAAACCATTTCTGAATCTGCTACACCCTGTATGAAGGTGACAACCGTGTCCATATTTTTCTACTGAAATCCAGTGAAGTTGTTTCAAGTTCTGCTGGAATAGCTGAGATTAATAATGGACTTGGTGAAGCAAAAGAAACTGCATCTAATATAGATAAGACAGAACTTATCCCTTATTCCAAAAAGAAATTCAGGAAACAGTGATTCTATGTGTGCTAGACCAAATTGTACTTCTCCTGAAACCTCTGCTTCATTATTTGTGTTTCTGTATTTGGATGCTCAATGTTTGATGGTGCTCAAAAGTTTCTTTGCTTTATTATGATTGGCATGTTTTTTTCTGGACATGTTAGATTCAGTCATAATTTACAAATCCAGTTGCATCCCTTTGTACCATTGGAATATACTGCATGAGAAACTGCCCTTGAAATTTGTTCTGAAACTTCAGGTATTACATAATGCTGATCAAACTACTAACTAGGACCAATTTTAAGAAGCATATACTCTGTTGTCAAAATACTTACCAGTTCATTTTTGATCTGGCATGATTCAAGGTGCTGTTTATGTTCTATATGAACTGGAAACCAGAGTTCTTGAAATATCATATTCTACCTTACTGGTCTTACTTAAGACTGAAAATCTTTAAATGAGTGTGATTTTGGTTCCATTGCTGACAAAAGCCAATTTGATGATCAAATCAGCTGCAATATTTTTAGAGGAATTGACATGTTTTGAATAGTGGGAGTGAAATCCTGAAGAAGCATTGCAAACAAACATTTTCTGAAATGTAATCACTGGTTCTTTAATAAAAGATCCAGAGTAAAAAAACATTACCATTACCTTGAAAATATTTTCTATTGATGAATACAGTTTTATTTCACTAACACTATATAACATTTCAGTAGAGGTTTACCTTTGTTATTATATTCCTTATTTTGACTGATCGTTGTATTTGTTTAAGTAGACATTGAATGCCCCATTGGATGAAGAAATAAATGTGCACTTACCATGGTATCTTACAAACACTTCAGGAGAAACAAAATGTATTTCTTTGATTCTTTTCAGAATGAGTTAAGTTGGCTTAGAATGAGGACTCCCATCTGAAGAAGTAGCTATGTCTACCAGGAAGGATGGCATTAATTACCTATTTGTATTTAAACCACTGGGATCCATATTCCTGAT